GTAGCAAGCCCTCTGCAGGTGGGCACTGGGCCTAATTTATCGTGCAAATCATCTGCATTATTTTTAACATCATAAGACTTCAATTCAGGAGAGGAGACAGAGGGAAAGACAGGAAGCAGAAAAGAAATGGAAATTTTCTAATATTTTATATTTATCCTCATTATTCTTAAAATAGCCTTGATAAAATGTTTCTGTTGACTCTTACTTTGAAAGCTTATTATTATGAACATGTTCTCGCCAAGGGCAAGCAAACTTGAGAGAATTGCCATGTGGATGGACTATAGCAAAAACTCAGCTCCTGTCTGTGGATTTTCCAGGCGGGGGGATAGCTCAGTGGCACAGCACCTGCCTGGCAGGCACAAAGTCCTGAGTTTGATTCTTGGTATGAAAAAATAAAAGGCTTTGCTGCTCATATATTTATAGTCCAGCTTTAAGCCTAGAAAAAACATAAAAAAAAATCTTTTAGCTCTCAACAAAATCTGGCTTATACATTTTATCTATTCTGTGGTTAATAAATCTATAAAATCTTCCTTTGGAGGTCAAATGACGATAAATTGTTTGTTTCCACTACATTTTTTTCCTGTTTTCAGCCTTCCCTAAGGCAGTAGAATTGACATTCAAGTTTTAGTTTAATCGGGAAATAATATTTAATAAAAATAATGGAATGTTTTCAAATCCCTAAATTTTGAAATCTTATGGTGATGTACCTGTTGTTATGGAAGGTAGAGATAGTCAGAAAAGTTAACAACAAATGAAAAATCTTTCAACAAAAGATCAGTTCTATGTTTTCCCCCCCTGCATAATACTATTTCCAATTAGAAATTACCCTTTGCGTCTCAGGACAGCAATAAGATGATTGATGGCAATTACTAGTAATTTTGCAATTCTCTGCTTTTAAAATAATTCCCTCCATGTTTTCACCAGCACTGGAGTACTCTACACTCAGCTCACATCGAAGGATGAGCTGGTGCTCTGAAGGTGCTAAGACAAGTCTTCCCATGTGACAATTCTTCAGAGCATAATACTCTAAATGTATTTATTCTTTAATAATATATTCACTTTCTTTTAAGCAACATCTAAGAAATAATGTAATAGTTTTAGTCCCCATGCATCTATTTTTGAGAAAATTAATCAGATGCAGAACTCCTAATGACTTTTGCGGAATCTAATGACTAAACCCATTCCTTCAGCAAGACCTTAAGGGTACAACTCCAAGGGGGTCACACAAAGTATCTGGTGCTTTGCTTTTTCCCTCAAGGTCTCCAGGCTCCACAGCAGACATAAAAACTCAGAATATTCTCAAAGGCGCTCACTGAAATAGGAACAACAACACATCGCTAATTTTAAAAAATGTCTTTAATGTAGCAGTTACTCAACATTTACATTTTATTCTTCTGCAAGAATATGCTTAAAATTCCACATAATGAGAAGCTGCTAGCTTTCCAAGAAATATTGGGTTAATGGGAAAATGGCACTAGAGAGATACATGCGGGGGTCTTTCTTGATATTTCTATGCCATTTTGATGTAGAGTAATTCTAAGATAATTCAGTCATTGTCTGTCATTCCTCATTAGAAATGTCTCAGATCCAGGCTGGCTACATGCTTGTGCCACTTGCTTCACTCTCTGCTTTCCATACTGTGCCTGTTCACATCAATAGCTGGCCTTTCCCCTGCAGCTTTTCTGTCTGATTAGTGCCATGACTCTGATGGCATAAGCTGGTTGCAAACAATAACCATACAACTGTATGTGATGCCCAACAGAAAATGGAAAATTTGTGTTGTATTCATGTCTTTGCTTTGAACAATAAACTGAATAGATAGGTGTATGGATCATTGCTCTACACAGGAGTGACCACTGAATTCAGGGATATGATCATCCTTTGTGTGGACAAAATCCTCCTGCCAAAACTTACTTGATAAAATGTGGCTTGTCACAGCCATGATTTCTTCTTTAATTAAACAGAAATTACAGTATGTTAGGTAATTAATCTTACAGGAATCATCATTCCTTTTTTCCTAGATTTCATTTCATTGTTATAGGACTGAGCAAAAATATCACTGAAGTTTAAAATTGAGCACCAATAGTGAAGAAAGATTACACTTTACACATATATGTTGCATTTATTCCTAAAGACTTACCAATATACCTGGAAAAGGAAGGAGATAGTGCACTTGCAGTGAATGCTTTTGGTGTTTAACTTAGAAAATGAACCTGGCAAGCACAAGGTCCTGAGTTCAATCCCTGGTACAAAAAAAAAAAATGTAGGTATCTGCAATAGGTTAAGTTGACTAACTCTGAGGTTCCATAAATATTTCTATGTAGGAAAATAACTTGTGGATCAGGCTCAGAGAACTTATCACTTATATCTCATAAAAGCACTTTATTCCTTCAGTATTTGTATTTTTTTCTATAACAGAGGCAGTAGAGCTCAACATCACTATCTGTCTGAATATCAAACTCCTTAGACATAACATGGAACAGGTATTTTCCAACAGTCATTGATATTCTAAACTTTAAGTCCCTGTAGAATGTGAAAAAAGTACACATTTTTACACAGAAATTTAGAAATCTAACCATATACAACATTGTAGCAGGACAATCCTATGACATTTTTTTCTTGTCTCTTGTTTTCTTTTATTACCTTTTTAAAAAATAAACATTGACTTGTGAGAGAATACAGCAACAATTGATATGACATTAGAAGCAGTATGCATTTAGAAGACCAGAATGATATGTATTCCAAGCATGGTTTTAATATTGCACATCGTTAATCTCAGTGTAGTTACTTAGTTCACAGATATCAGCATGTACAGTTAGTCAGGGTGAGAATCCTACCAATTAACTGCTAGTTTCAAAAACCTGATGGAGATTCTTAGGATCATTGCCTTAACCATCTTGTTTATATAAATGTATGGTTTTTACCCCTTCGACGTTTCCTAACTTTTCTCCTTGCTATCTCTTTGTTGTTTTTTCCTTAAGTTATCACTTTCCATTTAACTGTATTATATCTTTCAATTTTTATTTCTTCTTTTGAGTTCTGACACTAGGGAGACTATATGATATTTGTACATTGGGTCTGGTTTATTTCACTTATGAGTATATCTTCAAGTGGCATCCACTTATATATGAAGGCTTTGAGTTTACCATTCTTTATAGATGAGTAATACTCCATTGTATAAAAATACCACATCTTTTTCATCCATTCCTTAGGTGATGGGCAATTTGATTGTTTCCAAGATTTTGCTATCATAAATTGTGCTGCTATAATCATAGATATCACTATGATATGATGTTTTCAGATCCTCTGGGAAAATTCTTAGCAGAGGAATAACTGGTTTAAATGGGATTTCCAGTCCTAGTTTTCTAAGGAGTCTCCATACTAATTTCCATAATGGTTGCCCCAGTCTACATTCCCACCATCAGTGGAGAAGGGTGCCTTTTTCCCCACAGCCTCTCCAACATTTGTTGTTGAGTGATTTCTTTATGATAGCCATTCCCTATGGGAGCATTCTTGTGAAGCTAAAAGCTATGTACTCTTTCATGAGCATTAAATACAATACCTAAAGTAATAAGATAAAATTCTTACTAGCAGGTAGAGTTCACAGTCTACTAGAAAGATGATTTTAAATACGTATCGTTAAAATACAGGATGAGATTTTAATGGAAGCGTATAAATCATTTCGCGTGAGCATCACACAACTTGCGAACAGCTGTTTCTTCTAAGGAATGAGTCCGGCACAGACACCCTAAGAAAAGACCATTTGAGAAGTGCTCTGAAAACACAGTAAGAGTTGACCAAGCAGATCAAATAGATTACGCAATCTGCATCAAAGTTACAGGTTGTTACAGATCAGAGGCATAGAAGAACAAGGAGGATGCTGAAAACCATAAAATGCATATTGCTGAGGTAGAAGAAGCCTTCAGAAGAATGATTGGAATCGGTTATAAAAGGGCATGATGTTCTCTTTAAATTAGCTGCTCAGGTTACTTTGTTTAGTAGAATTTTGTGTTGTTTCTAATGCTTTTTTTCTTCTATCACTAATTTGTATTCTTTAAAAAAATTTTAAAACAAAGAAAGGTCTAAACAGACCTCCAAAAGGCATCAGAGCCCATATTCTATGGGAGCTTGATTTTCATCTGTACACAGTAAGGGCCAAGGCGAAGGGAGTAATCCCATTATGTATAAGTGGCTCTGCAGCTCACCAGTAATGCCACCACACACACCAGCAGACTGCGAGAGAGCCATGAGGATGCAGAGATGGAAAGAACAGCAGAGGGATGAAAGACACATTCTGCATTCAGTGTGACTCTAAATAATATTGAAAGATTTGGGGTGGAGATTCATGTATTACAGCCAGAAGTCAAAACTCTGATTTTTAGTATTATTTTAATTTGTGAAAATACTGTTCCCGTGTCTGCCGCTGTTGCAGAGGCATCTCCTCCCTCAGTGCGTGTGTGTGGAAGTACCCACCAAAGGATTGCACTGCTCTAGCAACTGTGTCCGGCTTCACGCTTACACATGCGCAGAGCAGAGGGGAGGCTTGGAAACACTGCAGGGCAGGGCACTTCTTCCAGCACTCCTCAGCTTCAGGCAATCATTTAATGTGTGTGATGGGTGGGTGAGAAAATTTCCACCACTGCTACTTAATTTTCATTTCAGTCTGAAGTCTGTTCCTTGGTTCTACCTGGTATCACTCAGTCCAAAAACAGAATCTAATGGAACTGGAATCTAGAATCATATGTAATCAATAAAAATGTTTAAATATAAATTTTGTATTTCATATAATTTTTCTATTAAACAACAAAAAGATAAAAAACTATCTCAGTTTTTGTAATTGGTTCTCAATGCCCTCAGTATATGTATCTGAAATCAGATGTTATCTGTCTATGTGTCTATCACATTAGCCATATTTGACATTATATATTTTTGACATTATATACTAGATTTGTGTCATCTAATGGCCACACACGTGACTAATTTGCTATGTTTATGTACAGAAAGCCATACCCTGGAAGATGTCAACAAGTGCATCGTAGCTCTGAGAGACCAGGATGTGGAGAATTTAGACCGAGCCGCAGGAGCCATCAGAGGACGGGCCACGAGAGTCGCTCACATCGTCACGGGTGAAATGGACAGCTATGAGCCAGGGGCTTACACTGAAGGTGTCATGCGAAATGTGAACTTCCTCACAAGCACCGGTAAGTCTCAGGGCTCAATCACAGCTGTGCTGTTAGAAATCTGAATATGCAGAGTGACTGAATATTCACACCTATGGAAAATGGTTCTGGCCATGTTTAAACATACAGAACATCACTGTACTCTCTGATGATTACTTACGTTCTTTGGTTATATGATTTGAAATTTATCCCAGTGAAGGAAACCTATTCATTGGGGAAGGGTCTTCATAAATATGCGCCTTATATAAACTACCCACAGACAGCAGCAATTTAGGTTTATTCATGCCAGCTCAGGAGGAGGTGTGGTTAGGCTGGTGCAGCTCTCAGGAGGAAACAGTTTCCAGATTTTCCTTTAGCTGTGTCCCCGGTACCCTCAGGTTTTCATTACACTGCTTAAGCTGAGCAAATCTGTCAGGTTTCTAGAGAAATGCTCTCTACCTTTAGCTGTGGTTGTTTGCAAAACATTTTGTTCTTGCACATAATTGTCTTTGATTGCTTAGGAAATAGGCAGCGAGGACTTTGTTCTGGTTGCATTAACCAAGTCGCTGTTTTCTAAAATCAGCTAGTAAACACTTTGAATTACTCAGTGAAATGTCATTCTTTTAAATATTGTTATCATTTCCCTAAGAAACTTATGGAAGTATCAGGATTCATATGAATTCATAAACCATGAAGGCATTCGGGAGTCTCCACAGGTCATCATGGCAGAACTCTTGCCTCTGAAGATCCCTGCGAATTTGTAAAATCCTCAGATATAAATTACTACCCTTTAGTACTAAAGCAGTGATACAGTGGTGACTCCTTTATTGTTTGAAATTTCATAAGGAATTTCCAAAGGAGTGGAAAAGAGAAGGATGGACTAGTTTTGTTTTGTTTATTTAAAGATTTATTTATTTACTTACTTATGCGGCACAGGGTCTTACCATGGAGCTCGGACTTGCAGTGATCATCCTGTCTCAGCCTCCCCAGAACTGGGATTCCAGACATGCACCGCCACTCCTGGTTTCAGTGGCCAGGATGGTACACATGGTGGACACGGCCCACATGGCATGTGATACTAGGACAGAAACTAGGTCCTTGAGCTTGGCAGGCAGGTGTTTAGAATGCCGAGCTATCTCCCCAGCCCACAATAGGATAGTTCTTAAATTCTTATTTTCCTTCTTCCTTTTGTGTGCAAAGCTGTCTTTTGAGAAGAACAAGAGGAACACCCTGACAGTTAAGTAACGTTCACATTAGTGTAGCTCTTAAGAGCTGTGCTGCAAGCACGCAGCAAGGTCTGCAGAGCACCAATGAGTCTTGCTGTCCCAGTACGTTGATGAAGAAGGTCATC